TTTAGAGGAAAATAATGCATCACTAATTTATAATTAGTGTCCCTTGTTGTAATATTATATTCGCTCTTCCGGAGCCTTCAATCATTTTTGCATTATCTGTTATTATATTAACATTTGCTTCTTTAATTGATAAGTAAGCAAAATACTTTTCATTATTAAAAATGCTATGTGTCATTGCATTGTCCTCAAGAAATATATCTTGATTATTTCTTTTGCGAATATCTATGTTTCTTTTCAATAAATAAATAAAACATAAGAAACATTCGACTTAGAGAAATAAATTCATATTTTATTAATCTGGGAAGATTGTGACGAGATCATTTCTCATGAAACAAATATAACATAAAAACATATTAAATGTCATGAAACAAAACTACACATTATTCTGATCAATCACCATCCATATCACCACTTGTCCCTTCTAGGTAGACAAGAAAATCGACAACATCCAAATGTGTCATTTCTGGTTGGTCTTAATGAATATCACTTTGAAAAAAAATTGTTTCGATATTTTTCTTTATATTTTAGAGAAGCTTGATAAAGATCAACAAAATGCTTTGGTAAGCGGCATGTACAAGACCAATGATCGGTCATTCCACATTAGTGATAAACATTTTCATTTTTTTTTTGCCTTGACCACTTTTATCATTAGGATGTGGATTTTTGTCGTTTTCCAACTTCTGGTGGTTACTTGTAATCTTGTTATTTTTATGATAATTATGATAACCTCCATGACCTCGGTTAGACTCATGACTATTTTGATTATATGAGTTGCATTCACTTCAGGGAATGTACTAGAACCGGTCGGGATTGATTGATCATTTTTCATCAATTCCACGACCTCGGTTAGACTCATGACTATTATGATTATATGAGTTACATTCACTTCAGGGAATGTACTAGAACCGGTCGGGATTGATTGATAATTTTTCATCAATAACTCATTGTTTTGTTTAGCCACAAGAAGACATGAGATTAATTCATATTTATTTTAAACATTTCTCATGATATTGCTACTGCAGGAGCATGTTAGTAGTATGAAAACTAGAGAAAGTTTTCTCGAGCATTGTTTTCCATAATGAAAATAGAAATCAAAATAAAGACTTGCAATGTAAGGAATTGTTAGTTAAGAAATTCCATAAAATAAGTTGTAAGCATTGTACATGTAAAATTATAAAAAATACATACCTGAAAATTACAAGAACAATAAGGAGTTAGAGCTCTATGGTAGAGTCGTGCTGATAACGTGTTATAAAATATGATCAAATAACAATATAAATTATATAGTAAAGAAAGACAAGAGTAGAGAGAACTTTTATTCCAATACTTGTGAAGAAATTATCTAACTTTACAATACATAATATTCACTATTTATACTAAACAAAGAAGATGAAAGGTCATGTATGATATGAATGCATATTATAGTGGTGCATAACTACACTCATAAAACTCATAATAATGTTTGCTATAATGTTCACTAATTATGGAGAGTAATGGGGGAATATGGAGAATCCGATAGTCATTCACTAAATAATAATTCATAACAATATATATATATATATATATATATATATATATATATATATATATATATATATATATATATATACACTTTTAAAATCTGTATATAAGGTTCAAACCATGACATATCTAAAATAGTGTTAGTGTTTCGTAATTAACCTTCCATATGAACCTTGAGACTAAGGGAGAAAACGATTCGAACCGAGCCCGAGCATGGCCAGGCTCAACTCGGGTTCGTTTAAGTTATACGAGTCTCGAGCTCGAGCCCGACTCGATTCGAGCTTTCTTGTATTGAGCTCAACTCAAGCTCATAAAGAATTATACAAGTTCGGTTGAGGCTCGGACTCAACTCATTTTTTATCTGACATGCCTAAATAAGTTTAAGCTCGGCTCGAGCTCGTTAAGAAGCTTGTTTACTAATACCCTAAATCCATAATTCCCTAAATATGTTTTTATTTTAATATATAAAAATGATAATAAATTATATTATATAAAGAGTCGTTTAGGCTCGCAAGCCTAATCGAGCTTAGTGACAGACTCAAGCTTGGGCTTGGGCTCGTTTAAAATTGTTTAAATTATATTAATATTAAGCTGGAGTTCGGCTTGGGCTTGTTTAAAATCGTTTTCGAATCGAGATTTTTAACGAGTCGATCCCGAGTAGCTTGGTTCGTTTGCACCCCACTTGAGACATATTGACATGGGCTGCTCAAATGATGGAGTTTGTAATTTTGATTACAACAAACTAACTATTTCTTTATATTCAAAGATTACACTCTGAATTAGTTCGTTAACTAATAGTGTGATAGAGAGTACTTTTATAATGTGGTCTTGATACTTTTAACACATAAATTATTTGTCGCCGCTAAAAGTAAGTGTCGCTGCGAATATAGCGATGGTTTTTTACCGCAACAGGTCGCCGCTAATAGTATTAGCGGCGACAGAGACAATCTTTTGCGGTAACGCCTGTCACTACTAATTCCTTGATTTCTTATAGTGTTAGTTATTACGGATGTTTCAATTCTTAGTTTTCTTTCCAATTTTCAAATCAAAACCCGACATTGCCGTATTTTGTTCCTATTCTGTTTTATACGAATTTTGTAGGTACCAAAAGACAAACTTTTAAAATCACTTTTTTTTTTTTTTTTTTTTTTTTTTTTTTTTTTTTAAATTTAATTTAATTTATTATTATTATTTTTTTTGCTGCAGTTACTCGAGATTCAAAAGTAAAACATTTTCAAATCGCAAATTCCAATTGTGTGTTGATATGAATGTTTTGCGGATCTAGGCATGTTCTCTTCTTCATACTTCCAGATCCAGTTAGGTGATTGTCATCTTCATTCCTCCATACAATGAGCTGGAACATGCTTTTAGACAAAATATTAAATAAAACTACATCATATCGTATGGTATTATATATATATATATAGGTGGGTTTAATTGAAAAAATAAAAAATGTTGAGAATGAAACAATCATTCTCAACCACTCATTTAATTAGCCTCTAAACATAAATGATACGGTGACAAACTTGTAAATATGATATAATAGTATTCGATCACAAATACGTAAGTGTAGAGACTTAGATAACAGTTGAAATTCATTCGTTTTTTGCTCTTTCAATCCAACCTTCAATTCTGTTTGAATACGAACAAATCTTCAACATCGATTAACAAATCTTAAACCCTCCTCTCTCTCTCTCTACCTCTCTCTCTCTCTCTCTCTCTCTCTCTCTCTATATATATATATATATATATATATATATATATATATATATATATATATATATACTTTTCAAGCATACACATTAAATAAAACTACATCATAGAATACATTAACGTTATATTTAATAATACACATATAGGTAATGCAAAAATTGGTATGTTGATCATAAATTATTAATATTAATAATATATCTATATTACTTAATTAATTAGGTTAGATTTAAAGTAATTTATTCATATGATGAAATAAATTAAATTAAATTAATATATTTAATCAACAGAAATATACCAAACAAACGTGTCACAACAAGATAAATATTTTCTATGAAATTACGTATTAAAGCGAAAATAGAAAATGTTGCGAAAGAATGAATTGCATGGCGACAATGGAGAAAAGACTTTCAAAGTAGGTTGCATGGCGACATTTGTAGTTTCTCTCCTTTTTCATCACCATAACAGTCAACCAATTTCAAAGTACGTTGAATGACCCGTATTAAAAAAAAAAAAAAAAAAAAAAAAAACTGCATCTCTATTATAATTCTTGTTAGTTGTTTTTTTATTTATATTTGAATGTCAATCTGGGAATTGCATGCTAAGCCTAGAATTGTTATTTGTTCTTTTATTTTACTATATTTTATCATCAATCTTTTCCATTCATGAAATTTATTACAATTTCATATCTATCAATTTTACATCAAAAGACAAATATGCTCTCCTGATAATTGAAGGTTTCAGATCGTCAAGAAATGATACTTAGAAGTAAGACTTTTCAACGCAAAAATGAAATAAGAAGGAAATTTCATCCACCATAACGAAAAGCTAACCTACGTGGAGTCGCAGCCAACCAATCACATACTAAAAACTTTGACTATGACCGGAAAACAGACCATCTTTTACATGCCCCTTTTATCTTACGATAGCAACAACCATTAAATATATATATATATATATATATATATATATATATATATATATATATATATATATATATATATATATATATATTTTGCTATAAATTTTTTATAAACTTCTCTTATATCATTATTAAGCTATAAAATTATAAAAAAAATCATACTATAATATTCACATTAGATTAATGTATGAATAATCATAGGTTAGTATTCATAATAAAATTTACTACAATACTATATATATATATATATATATATATATATATATATATATATATATATATATATTAATAAGTATGAGTATTAAGTAAGATTATTCATATATTTAATGTTGAATAATGGTATAAATACAGTGTATAAAAAATTTATAAACAGAATAATAATATAAAAATAATGTTTTTAACTTATTTTTGTTTTAAATCACTATATAATGCATTGTTATAAGATAAGATATCCTATTTTTTTTTGTATATTTGTCGACAATAACTTGATCCTAGATGATGTTGGGTTTTTACTTTTTAATGCCTAGGATTTTTTAGGCGCATCTAATAATATGAATATATCTAAATCTAAATTCTAAATAGAAGAATAAAAAAAGTAGGGAAATAGCTAGAAAACTCCCACCAACTACCACTCTTGTTTACATTAGCAGCCGTTGAATAGGAGCAGGCCAAATCCAACTACTTCTCTTTGCTTTCCTTTCAGGCCTACATCGCCATCGTCAACATCCCAACCGTTGATACTTCATCAGAAATAACCAACGACCATGATTAATCCTCAACCAACCCACCTCCACTTGCCTTGCATTGTTCTTACCTACTTTTACATCTTTCATTACAATTTGCACACACCAGTTTCCTTCTATATAAACCACAACTCTCATCTACCAATGACTCAACACATTGCTAGCCATTCAATCCTTTCTTCCTCCACCTATATATACATTATTCACAGACACTCACACACACTCAAGAACACTAACAGACACTTCCTACGTATACAAGAGCTTGATCGATCCACAGTGCAGTTGAATTAATGGAGAACGGGCATGTAAATGGAGTGGCGACCGAGTTCTGCATTAAAGATCCCTTGAATTGGGGAGTTGCAGCGGAGGCATTGAAGGGGAGCCACCTTGATGAGGTGAAGAGAATGGTGCAGGAGTTCAGGAAGCCTGTTGTGAAGCTCGGAGGAGAGACGTTGACGGTGTCTCAGGTGGCGGGTATTGCTGCTGCCGGTGATAGCTCCACTGTGAAGGTGGAGCTTTCGGAGTCTGCTAGGGCTGGAGTGAAAGCGAGTAGTGATTGGGTGATGGAGAGCATGAACAAAGGGACTGATAGTTATGGAGTCACCACCGGTTTTGGAGCCACCTCTCACCGGAGGACCAAGCAAGGCGGTGCTCTTCAGAAGGAGCTCATTAGGTAAAATCTTAAACTTTTAAACTCATAATATATATTCCAATCAAATTCATTGGTAATATCTTATGTTTTTTTTTTTTTTTTTTTTTTTTTTTTTTTTTTTTTTTTTTTGCATCAGTGTCTAATTTAATTTAGAAACGTATATTGCTATTCTAAAAATTACTTTATATTTCATTTTAAAACTTAAAATAAATAAAATGTCTCGTTTTCTATATAATAAGAGTTTATAATACAAATTTAATACTTGTATGATGTATAAAATATCAAAGAAAGTGGTATGTCACATAAACATCTTACCGAGTTATTAAGTCTGTTGATTATATTTATGGGTTTAAAACTTAATTATGATATGCTATGGGCATTTTTTATATAAATATCACTGACTTCTATAAACCAGGGTCAACAAAGTTTTTACATTTTACATAGAATTTCGTTAGTTATTATTCAAATATTTGATATTTTATAATATATGACAGATAGGCTATATATCATATACGGATTATATATATGAGCGGTTTGCAAAGCTTTCTCTTTTTAGTATTTTACTAGACTACTTGATAATAACTTTTCCTCTAAAATATCTTACAATGATTAAACTGCAGTGTCTTGAAATCAATGGATTTATGTTAGGAAAAAAGAATATTGATTAATAAATAAAACAAAAAACAAAAATTGGGGTTAGGTGGGATGTGTGTACATGATAGCTATAAATATTTTAAAGTTATAAAAAAATAGACGCTCGAGCAACCAAAAATACATAAATTAAAGGCCAGTGTGTCACGAACAAATTTTTGTTGTTAACTTTTCAAGAAAAGAGACATGTTTAACCAATAAATGAAAGTTATTAATTTATACCGTTGAAAGTACATTTGTAACTTTGGTTGTAGTAAATAATAATAATAATAATAATAATAATAATAATAAAAAAGAACAGTTAATATAAAATAAGTTTAGAATTATAATAACTAGTTAAACGGATTTAAGTATGTTTTCCTTCACTTTCTACCAAATTATCCATATGTAATTATTCTGCTTAAACTCCTAATTTGGTGTTACATATTTGTTACAAAATTACTTATATTAATTTCATATCTTCAGATTTTTAAACGCCGGAATCTTTGGCAACGGAACGGAATCAAGCCACACCCTTCCGCATTCAGCAACCAGAGCCGCCATGCTCGTAAGAATCAACACCCTCCTCCAGGGTTACTCCGGTATCCGTTTTGAGATACTGGAAGCCATAACTAAGTTCCTCAACACCAACGTCACCCCATGCTTACCCCTCCGAGGCACAATCACCGCCTCCGGCGACCTTGTCCCATTGTCTTACATCGCCGGACTTCTCACCGGCCGCCCGAACTCCAAAGCAGTCGGCCCCAACGGTGAAATCCTCAACGCCGAAAAAGCCTTCAACCTCGCCGGAGTTACCGGTGGGTTCTTCGAGCTACAACCTAAAGAAGGTCTAGCACTTGTTAATGGAACCGCCGTCGGATCTGGCATGGCTTCCATGGTCCTCTTCGAAGCTAATGTGCTTGCATTGTTATCGGAAGTTTTGTCGGCTATCTTCGCGGAGGTTATGCAAAGGGAAACCAGAGTTTACCGATCATTTGACCCACAAACTGAAACATCACCCTGGCCAGATCGAAGCTGCAGCGATAATGGAATACATTTTGGACGGAAGTGATTATGTTAAGGCAGCACAAAAGGTCCATGAAATGGACCCTTTACAGAAACCCAAACAAGATCGATATGCTCTAAGGACCTCACCACAATGGTTAGGGCCACATATCGAGGTCATCCGATCATCTACTAAAATGATCGAGAGAGAGATCAACTCCGTCAACGACAACCCTCTGATCGATGTTTCCCGGGAACAAGGCTTTACATGGTGGTAACTTCCAAGGAACTCCTATTGGAGTTTCCATGGACAACACACGTTTAGCCATTGCCTCCATCGGAAAACTCATGTTTGCTCAATTCTCCGAACTCGTAAACGACTTCTACAACAATGGCTTACCTTCGAATCTTTCAGGCGGACGAAACCCTAGCTTGGATTATGGATTCAAAGGTGGAGAAATTGCCATGGCTTCATACTGTTCCGAACTCCAGTTTCTTGCAAATCCGGTGACAAACCATGTCCAAAGTGCTGAACAACACAACCAAGACGTAAACTCTTTGGGGTTGATTTCAGCAAGAAAAACAGCTGAAGCTGTAGAAATCTTGAAGCTCATGTCATCTACATACTTGGTAGCTCTATGCCAATCGATCGACTTGAGACATTTGGAAGAGAACATGAAATCCACAGTGAAGAACACAGTTAGCCAAGTAGCCAAGAAGGTCCTAACCATGGGTGTCAACGGCGAGCTCCACCCGTCAAGATTCTGTGAAAAGGACTTGCTTCGAGTAGTTGATAGGGAGTACGTGTTTGCATACATCGACGATCCTTGCAGCGCCACTTATCCATTGATGCAGAAGCTTCGACAAGTTCTTGTAGATCATGCTTTAAACAATGGCGAAACTGAGAAGAACACTAGCA